AACTTAAAAAAATGAAAATAAATAAGAGACCCATGTTTTCCCTTCCTGGTAAGTGGGGAAGAGGGAACAAATGTTTTCTCCTATTCTCTGTATCCACTCTCAACCAGGTGGTGGGAAAGGGAACTAATGGGTCTCTTATTATTTTCAAAATGTTTTCTTTCCTTCCAACACCATTTGCAAACCATCTGTTTGACCAGTTCTATGGCATCACATGGTCATCCACCACTAGCACAAATGAAGTTGCTTCAACATTTCTGCTTTTAAAAAAAGTTTCACTGGATGGGTGCCCTGCCTGATGTAGTCCAAAACTCTAGCTAGTCAGCTCTTTAAGGTCCTCAGAGGGCCTCTGGTCATGGCCTGGACTCCACTGATTGAAGCACCACTCCAAAATGACACATCCACTCTTAAAAAGTTAACAACATAGGAAAGGAAAGAAAGGGACATTGTTGTATGATGGCTGCCTGCACAGTGATGGTATGTAGTGGCCCCTTGGGCTACAGATACCCAGGGTGCTGCTGGATGTTTGTTCATAGCAACCCCATCGGGGCTCTAGTTCAGTCCTTAGCATCTCTTGTTGTGTGAATCAGTTACCAGGTAATGTGAGGCTCTACAGAACTGCTTCTGGTCAGAATAAACTAAAACTAAGATGATTGTTTCTGAGTAGTTATGAATAGGATTGCACCATATGTTGCTGGAGAAATGTGTGTTCTTTCCAATATTTTATTTGTGGAAGTCAGGATGTTTCTTAAGAGTCTTTTGAAAGAGTTGTGGAAGCACTATGGTTTCAGGTAATGAATGGTGCCATAAAAGCAATATCCAAGTAACACATGTGTGGATTTCAAAGGCCTCTGTCTTTGCATAAAATAGATAACTGACATTCACACCATTAATTGTAATGGGATTTTATGTACATAGCATATTCTGGTCCTAATGCAAAGTTTAAAGTATTCACTGAAGGAATGACATTAACTGCTCTACTAGTAAAAACAACAAAGCTTGGGAAAAAGTGACAAGATGGTTTCCCAGTATATGTTTTGTTTCAGATAAAGCCAGACAAAAAGAGGCAATCTGGCATCCTTTTTCAATATCTCAGAGAATCCCCATTGCACAGTTGAATTAGATATTTCAGAAGCAGAAGCTCAGAAAGGAGGAGGACTCAGGCTTTAAAAAACCAATAGCCTCCACACATCTCTAAGAAAAAAGAAAGAATATGCATACAATATTCAGAATCAAAGCCAAAAGTGTAGGGATTCTTGAATAATTGTGCTTTCCCCCCCCCAAAAAAAATTCTAATATAAACTGACATAAATATCTCTTAAATTAACTGTGTAGATTAAAGCTTAATTATCCTCTAGTGTCCAAGTGCTCTTAAAACAGAAGTTCAGTTTCTACCTAAAAAAAGAAAACAAATCTAAAAATCAAAATATATTTTTGAATGCATATTTTGAAAGAATGTGCTTAAATTATATCTAAATGTCTGGGCAGTTTTTTAAAGCAAAATAAAAGTCAAAGCACTATCATTCAGTTGATAAACACATGAAAGTGACAAGAGCCAAAAACAGCTTGACTCATCAATCTCAACAGGAACCTTATAATAATTTGTCAAATTTGTGTGTCTGTCAAAAATGTGTTTGTTGTTTTTATATATAATTTTAATTTTAGGGCCAAGGAGCTGTTTATTACAGTTTTAGTTAACCACGTCTGGCTACAAAACATCTCTGATCAGGCAAATAGAGGCCTGATAAACCCAAGCCTAATCATCAAAGAGACCAATAGTGAAGCTGTAAAGTCTAGCCAGAAAGCAAGCAGATATGCTATGGAAACTTCAGAAAACAGCTGGGATTTCAGTCCTTGGGATGTAATTTTTTAATAATTTTCTTCTGGAAGGAATCAACAAGTAATTTTATCCATTTCTTCTTGCTGCAAGATAGTCTTTGAAAAGTGTGCAGTGAAGACAATTTGCAATTTGAGATTATTACTATTTTTGCACAAAAAGCAGCATTTTCTATGCAGGAAACAGTATTTTTTTGTACAGAAAGTAATATTTCTGCACAGGAAAATGCTGTTTTCTTTAGTAAATGACCATGTGCAGATGTGTAGAATAAGCTCCAAACTGAGAAGACCCTCTTCAGTCCAGGATTCTTCTTATCAGAAGTTCTTGACACTCAAGAAACAGTCACCAGAATCCTAGCTCAGCTACATACTTAAGGTTCCTTGGTATAGTCAATTCAAAGGGGAACAATACTTCCAGCAATACTTCTATAACTTAACCTTTGTCACACTTAGAAAAGCCTTTTCTGTCCTTTGCTTTCAGACAAAGCCAATAGCCTACCTGGATGGAAGGTATAAAGGGATTCCTCACACACAACAGCTTTGGATCTGTGGCTTGGGGGAGATGAAAGATCTAGCCCATCAACTTTCATATTGTCCTCTATATGAAGATCCTAAGGAACATTTCCTGGGTGAGCTTTTGAAAGCAAGTTCAGGCTGGTTGCAGCATGACATTATTTGTGATCTGCTGGCAGCCAGCTCTAAGCTCTTCTCTTAAGGTTACTACCTTCACTGTGGCTGCCCATATCCATAGTAATTTTATAAAAACAATGGTGAACTGTAAAGGGGACAAGAAGTTGTAGATGGAATTGTGTATCATTTTGTTTTGCTGCTGATTTTCTGCTGCCTGATCTACTAAGATTTTCACTATCACTATTTTTGAAGTTAACAAGTTGTCCAGTGAAATGTATGGTTATGGTTTGTCATATTTTGTAATGGTTGTCGTACCTTATACAAATATTTTTTTGTTATATATACGAGGGGGTATCATAAAGTAATAATTATCACCTGGAAGTTATTATGGTATATTGATGAAATTTTGTCAGTGTCATCATCACCAAGTGACTCTTTATTTTCCTCAAAATTAAAAATCCTTTGTGATGTCACCGATTCGACAACACAGATGACATCATTCATGAAGTGGAAGAGTGGTATAAGGCACAATCTGCAGACTTATACAATAATTGTATTTGGAGGGTCACAAAACACTGGGGAAAATGTACAAATCTGGATGGTGACTACGCAGAGATAAGTTAACAATTACAAATCAAAACAAACTTTCTGTCAATTTTTTAAAAGGTGATAATTAAAACATCTTAGTCTAATCCCATCACCCAGTCTACCTTAAGAGCTGCCAGATCAAGCAAAGGAGGCTGTGACAAGGAACTTCAACAGGGCTCTTGCTTCAGAAGGTCACAGACTCATTGCTAAGGGGAAGTGGTGAAAACCACCTCCTCCTCCTTTTGCTCCCATTACCAGATGAACATATTTCCCAATATGGCTGCTGGCTCTTAAGACTGACTGGGGACTGCAAGATGTTAAGATGATCTGTGACTGTATGGAATTAATTATTAGAGAGTAGTTACAGATCCATAACTCTTTTTTATGAATCCATAACTACAATACTGAAGAACAACTAGTTTTTCACCTTTTTTGGAATATTTTTGAATAACCTTCCTATCCCTCTTATGTCCTCAGTTTAATTCAACAACAACAACAAAAATCTTTCATGACCTTGTTCATGAATTGCTTATGGTCCAGTTCTGGAGAGAAAAAGAGCAGTTGGAAGGACTTTCAAGGAAGGGGACACTTCAATAGTTCTTACTTACCTATCACATCAAGTCTGAAAATGCTTATACCCATTCTCCTGAAAGCTGCATTCAAGCAAGAATGGTCATAGAACTGTCATAACAAACTAGAGATATTTTGATGCCAGATGCTCCAAAACATTTGGCAAAAAAATGATTTGTGCCAATAAAAACACCAGCAGCTGAACTTCATGGGCCAGCTGCATGGGAAGCTCAGAATAAAGGAGGGTATGGAGGAGAGAATTAAATTAATCCTTTCAGTATCAGTTTGACCCCTTAAAATGGGAGGAATGGGTATGGAGGTTCACCATCATGAAGTAAAGCCAAGGGGATCAGCTAACAGCGGCATCTGCTAGTCCTGGCAGGTTCTGCTGTAATCTCCACCATCCCAGCTGGGGCCAGAGACAAAAGAGAGTGGAGGGGGGGGGGAACAGTCATTCATAAGAAGCAGCAAGTCCATGCACTGAAATCATGTGCTTAAGAGAAGTACAAGGCAGGTGTGAAAATAAGAGGCAGCAATTTGTTTCTTGGGAAGGAACAGCCATTTCCCAGATGGAAGGAGGGAAAAAATTACAAATGCATTTTTAATGTATACTCCTTTTAATGCACACTCCTTTTAATGCACATGTCTAATTCAGCATCGTTCCATGTTATTCTATCTCCATATACTGACTATTAGGTAATGACATGATTACTAACAGGAAAGCAGACATAATCATGTAGGAAACTTTTTTTAAAAAGGCTTTCCAGCAAAAGCTTTTACATGGGCAAGAGTGTACAATCAACAAGAAACTTGTAATAATTTAAAGAAAAGCTCAAAGGAATAGCTCTGAAAATAATGTGAAAATATCTATGAGAAAAATCTAATCATTTGGGAGACAGAGGGATGCAGACAGATGGCTGTGGGCTGCCCTGGGAAGTGGAGGATTGGGCTGCCCCACGCCTCGGCCCCGATCCTTCCTTTCGCTGTCTGGGAAAGGAGTGCTAAAATAGTGCTCCTTCCACAAGCTGTGAAAGGGATACCCAAAGAGCCGTCATGTGGCTCTTTTGGCTCAGTTTCATCATGTGCGCCTCTTCTGGCTCAGTGTGTCCGGAAGCTGAGCTGGAAGGATGTCATCAGATCACCCACCATGTGCAACGATGGGCGCTCCAATGACGTCCTTGGGAAGGGGTTGGTGTGCCCAGCATGAGGCTGCCCCTCCCCTTCCTTGTCTCCAAGATGGTGCAAACCGCCGTCTGCAAAGGGGGACAATCTAACACAATTGAGACTAGTTTTATTCAAGTCCTATTGAAATGAATGGAACAAGTAAATCCAGACCACTTGAAATTAGAGGAAATTAAATGCACCTATAGTTTCAGAGAGCCAGTGTGGTTTAGTGATTTGAGTGTTGGACTTAACTCTGGAGACCAGGGTTCAAATCCCTCCTTGGCCATGGAAACCCACTGGGTGGTCTTGGGAAGATCAAACTCTCTCAGCCTCAGAGGAAGGCAAAGGCAACCCTTCTCTGAACTAATCTTGCCAAGAAAACCCTATTATAGTTTCACCTTATGGTGGCCATAAATTGGAAATTATTTAAAACACACAAAAACAAAAACTATACTTGCATCAAATCCTTTTACTTAAGCCAAGGGGATGGTGTTTCAAGCACTAGAATGGCCCCCTTATTACTAAGCACCCTGAAGCAGCCAGATCCCATCTGATTGTGGAAGCTAAGCAAGATCGGGACTGGTTAGCACTCTGAAGGGAGACTGCCAAGGATTTCCAAATGCTACAGCCTTTATCCAGAGGAAGGCAATGACAAACCTTCTTTGAATAAATTGTGCCAAGAAAACCCTATGACAAAGTAAGTATAAATCAATATGAAGGTACATCACCATTCCCACCACAACAACCATTAAGGAGCAGCATTAGTTGAAAAATAAAGCTAATGGATGTGTATTAGCATGAATTGTCAGTGTGTCAGTACACAGCAGCAGAAGAATCCAGTGAAGAATGCTCATGGAACAAACTAAACTAGTAGATCATATATCAGGGTTGGGAAACTGTGGAAGGTTAGGACATCACAAGACTTTGGAGGGCTGCATCTTCTCTCTGCACTTTCCCACTGAAAGATTTTTTTTAAAATTGCTCCCAAACAGCCAATAGTGAACAGGAGTGGGATCCCCAGGGGCATTTTAGGCCCAGGGCAGGGCTTTTTAAACAAAAGGAGCTAAGTGTGAACCACTTCTTCTTCTTCTTCCTCTTCTTCTTGTTATTATTGTTATTATTATTTTGTATAGGGCCATAAATGTACATGGCCCTTTCCAGAAACAAGTTAACAACAATAAAATCTACCTGGGTCTGAATGGCATACAATCTACCTGGGTCTGAAATGGCGTACAATCTACCTGGGTCTGAAATGGACCAGATGGAGCCCAAACCCGGTGAAAAAAATGCCTCTCACTCTCCAGAGGGCATCTAGGATATTTTGGCACAACCCCCCACCCCCCAAAAAAATTGCTATGAACACACACACATTCTACAAGGAGCCCCTGGGAACCTGCAAACCAGCTCTGGGGAGGGCCCACATGAGGTCTACAAGCCACACTTTCCTCACTGCTGTCATATATTATAATGATGTAAAAGATATGCCCAAAAGGTATGCCCATAATGGACATACCAAATACCTAGGAATGCCCACAAGGGACAAACCAAAGAAGAAGAAGAAGAAGAAGAAGAAGATAGTAGGTGATCTCCCTCACCAAGCAGGAATTTATGGCCAACAATATTAAAAATGGAATCCTTGGAGGAAGCCCCAAAGGAATCTGAGAACAAATTCTGTGTTGAGCTGCTGCCCAAACTATCATCCCAGAAGAAATGCACCTCAGTGTCATCCATGAAGAAATAGCTAAGACTAGCAGTATAAGGGGAGCAGATAGAAGAGCAAAAGAAACATGAAATCTCTCCATCAAATTGGAAAGTAGAACAGGAAAAGAAAAACTAAAACACCAGGATGTGATTGTTCACTTAGATCTTCATTATCAGACCTGCGATGCAGAAGTAATCTGTTTCTGAAACATCTGCTGCACAAAGGTCTGCATTGTGCCTTCATTACAGATTTAACTATCAGCTGAAGGTCATCTCATTCTCAGAGTTGATTAGGTTTGTACTGATTAGTTTTTCATGTTTAATTGTGGCAAGTTTTTTTATAAAGCAACTAAAATGTCTCAATAATTTTTTTACCAAAGGACTATTTAGTTAAGCACCTGTTTCCATAGTGGCCACCTAGATGCTGATGGGAAATCCAAAGCATGGCATAAGGGCAAAGGACCATCCTGCTATTGGCATTCAAAAGTATACATAGTATGTACCTAATAGCCATAGCCAATGATTTTGTTTGTGAATGTTTAACTTATTTTAGTTATACTGTCAGAGCTTTTAAAATTTCATCTTGTGAACTTCCCTGTGTACACATGTGAAAAAACTAAGCATAAATGCTCTTTTTTTT